GATAAAATTAGAATTAAGAGTTATAATCCAATTAATGCGGGGGGTGGTAACGGAATGCAAATTGTTTTTCCTTCTGAACTTAAGATTAAGATTAGCATATTTCCAAAATATCAAGAAAATTGGAGCACAATTAAAAAAATTCACAGGGCACACGCTTTTTTCCCCTTCATTTACTGCAATAATTTTGTTGATCGTAATTTGAATAGAGCACATGTGAGCAGGATTTGACAAATTAATTCACTTCAAATATAAACCTAAGTAATAATGTATATTGAATTATTAGTGAGAAAAATATAATTTATTACATCCATTTCTACATGTATGACTAAAAATATTTTATAACCTTTGGCATTAAAAAAAATTGAGCTATTGGAAATAAATTTGTTTTAAAAAATTGCAGTGTATAATTTTTGATATACAATTTTATTGAACATATTTCAATATTTGTTAAAGGCATAATTAAAGTGTTAACTGTGAGAATTGAGAATCATCATTTTATTTGAAGCAGTTCTACATTTAACATCACTCATATATCGGTGTAAATAGTAATTCGAGAAACAATAATTATTATTGTTAACTGAACGGTAAATTTTAGTATAGGATATTAAAAAAAACGTAGATGTGAGTGCAGGACAACGTCGGTCTAGTCTACATATATATAAAAATAAGTCGGGTTTTCCTTCCTGACGAAATAACTCTAGAACGCACGAACCGATTTTGCCGATTTTGCCGACAATTTTGCATTCGTCGGAAAGGTCTCGGGATCCGCAAGGTTTATAGCTAAGAAAATTAGTGGTGCATGGCATTGTGCCTTAATGCAAATTGCTGGAACTTCACGCACCGTAATTAGAAATTCGAGTAATGACATTAATGAGAGTTATCAGAATTATGCTTGGTTAAGTCAACGAGCAATTCTTGCCGCAAAGAATAATGATGTATACGCACTGAATTTCACCATTCAATCAAATATTGCTGACGATTTGGTGACATACCAATGATTCTGACGGGTCTTCCGTTTGACTTCAAACGATTGCAATTTCCAGTTCGCCTTGCGTTCGCAATAACAAGTCGCAAGGCCATTCGCTTAGTGTTTGCGGGATAAAATTCAAATAGATTATTTAGAAAATCATTGTTTTTCACATGAGCAGTTATACTTTGCCTGTTCACGAGTTGGAACCCATCTGCTTTGTTTGTGTTAGCGTCAGACCAAAAAATAAAAAATGTGGTTTACCAAAGAGCACTTCAATGAAACGGATAATTTGCGGATTCACTATCAATTACTTAGAGAAGTTCAACTAAAAAACACTTCATTTTTGTAATCGAAATAAATTCATCACTGTTGTGTAATAAAATCAAATTTTTCCTTTTCAAATATAAAACAAACAAAAATTTCTTCATCTTTCTCACGAAACCATCTGGTGGCGAAACGGAGTTCGTCGGGTTTACTAGTACATATATAAAAATGGAGCTCGACATTATGTTAGGTATGCTAAAACTCATAAACAGCTGAACCGATTTGGACAGTTTTAGTCTTGAAATATTCGTGCTAAATCAGAGATTGTGTTAAAGATGAAAAATTAAACAATACGGCGTAGAAACTCTATATTTTTAATTTAAAATTTTTTGTCGTAGCATAATTTAAAATGAAACAAATCGACTGCGGCTCAAACTTCAAATGTCAAATGATTTTGACAGATTGTGTTCAATTAAATTTAATAGTGTGTTGTAGAGATGGCTTATCATATCCGAAGCCGGATCGACTCGGATTTGACTCCGCTTTTGGGAGGAGTTATATCCGCTTAACAACTCGACGAATTCGACTACTTTGAAACCGAAATACTCGAAACAAATGTGTTCTATAGTTGTTTATGCATCTAAGGATTTGTCAAATCCCATTTCATTTTTTTAAATGAGAAGTTTTGAATAAAATGAAATTAAAAAATTACAATAAAATATTATTTCTAAAAAATTCACAAATAAACGACGAGTTGTAAAATTTTTCGGTCGACCGCATGATCGACTCAATGATTTGTAATTTTAACAGTGTTGACCAAAGTAAAAACGCAAAACTTGAGAATCAAATTCAATTTAATTATTTTCTTTTGATGAGAAAATAATTGATTTTTTGGATTAATTTTATATAAAAATTATGTAGTAAACATTGTAATAAAAGCAAAACATTTATCATAAAATAATTTCACCAAATAATAATTCTTCTGCTTTCTAATTTTTCTTCTGCTGTTTCCATTCGAGAATTAATATTATATCGGGTAGTTCGATTAGCATATTATTACTTTTACACAATTATATAATTGTGATGAATATTTCTGACGAAATGCCTGATCATTGTTATTTACAGTGTTATCTGTGTAAAAAATGCACCAGTGGAACTTATACTTTGCATTAGTTAAATAATGTAGTTATTATTTTGTAAAATACTTTTAAAATTAAAATAGGACATTGAACCTAGCCGTCTCAAGCTACCTATGGGGTGAAAAAGACCAGTAACAAATTTTTGAAAAACGGCAAAAAAGCACATTTCTACAATGATGAAGTAGCTGGAAGTTCTACTGAACATAGTACGATTATTGTTTGTTTGATATGTGTTATTTGTTGAGACATAATTGGTTTGGTTTTCACAATATAATTAATATTTGCTCAAAGTCCAATTGGAAATTTGTGCCCCGTTCTATCTTACATAGATAATATTAATTCATGGTATTCAAAGATGAAATATTATTCAGTAGTATTATTTGCAATTATACACTAAATCCAGAATTCAAAAAGTATCTGAAAAACTTTAAAACTCAAACGTAAGCTTGCTAAGTACAATAAAACAAAACAAAAAAAAATACTATATAATCGGAAGGCCAAAAAAGACTTCGATTGGATTATGCCATGTTTTCCATAGAAAGTGTATAAAACTTCCAGTTTAATTGTTCTAACAATATATGGACAAGCGAATATTGTTAATATAAATTATATAATATTGAACAAGTAGACTTTGGGGCTTTATTGTTATTGTATTGCCTAATTATCTAGAGCATTCAAACAATACATCCTTATAAACCCATATATATATATATATATATATATATATATACTCGTATATATATATATATAGTTATATGTACATAGGTTTCCATATATACATAGGTTCCCAAACTTGTTTGTGCCGCGGACCCCTTGCGATGTTTTTCGTTCTATTATGGACCCCCTATATTAAGTTGACGTTATATTAACTAGTATGCATATATTAATCAATACGATGAATGAATAAATTGACGAATGCGAAATTCCAAAGGCAGGTTAAAACAGCGTTTCACATTAATCTAAATGGAGGAATTTAAATTTTGAATGTAGCTTGAAACATACGCAGTTTGTTTGTGTCAAATTGAGGAATAGACAAATTTGTGAAAAACACCTAACGTATTGCAAAGGTTGTAAGACAATCATCTAATTGCATCCCTTACTGCGTAATAGGCATTTGCCATCTGTGATACTATTTATTAACAGATTGTCCTATGGTCAATGTAATATATCGTAGCAACAAAATGAATTTAACATCGACATCACTGATTGTCAGAAAACATGGATGGATGTGTATGTCGTGGAGACAATTTTTCGTCGACGATTTCGGGCGTACGGATTATCGAAAATGTTCAGATGAGGACACGTGCTGATTAGTTTTTGACGAAGACAGCGGCTTCGGAATAAAATGCTAAAAATGTGGGTTTTTAAGAGAACGGATCAACCGATTTGAATGATCCAAAAAACATGCGATTTGTAATGATAGGTAGAAGTGGTAATCAGATTTTGGCAAAAGCGGGTCCAGCCGTTTCGGAGATATAGAGCTAAATATGCTAAAATTGGCAGTTTTTGCGAGAACTAAGCATCCAATTTGAATGATTTAAAAAACTTTCTGCTTGTGTTAAGGAAAGAATTTTTTTTATTTCAATTTTTTTTTCAATTTTTAATATTTTTTTTGAATTATTGAAAAATAATTCGGATTTTAATTTTAATTTTAGCTAAAGTTCTAAACATCACTTACCTACTTTAAATAAATATTTCTTTGCAGTTTAGTTTATATAATACTTAGAAATATAGACAATGTTCTTCATTTTAATCCGATTCATTAAGTTTTGTTTAGTTACTTTTTATCCAATAAGAATAATGAAAGTTACATTATTTATAATAATCTATTTGAAAGCATTTAATATTCTTCGTACGGGAAGTTCCATCAATTTGCCTTAAGGCGCGATGCTATACACCACTAGTTATTTTTATATTGAAAACAAGTAAAAATTATTTTAGGTGGAAATTCTTGTAACATAATTTGTATAATTTGTTACTTATTAATATATTATATTATATTTTATTATATTATATTATATATATATATATATATATATATCATTGCATTATGTTATCAAATATTATCTTTTTTATTTCATAATGTTCATTAGTCGCCGTGGTTCAAAGTGCCTCATATCACATTATTTGTAGTATTTCACAATTACAAGTACTAACTAATTATAGGTGACATTTTGCTTTAAGCCAAGTTAAGAAAAAATCTCACATGTAATTTCTCAACATAATAAATAGAATCTAGATATAATTATTGTAGTAAAATTTACGATTATTTATTTTTGAACATAAAATTTTTGTTTTTACTAATAAAGTAATTCATCGAAAATAGTATCTTTCAAATTACCTTATAATATTTCTGATTGTTCCGAAATTAGTGCAGGCTTTTTTGTGAAAGATACTCTCAAATATAATTTTTCCAAACGATTCATAACGACTTGAAACATCGAGAAAACATAAAATTAACACATGGTATTATTTGGCGCAAACATAAATTTTCGAGAAGATAAAAATTGCAGGAAAAATTATTGATAATGTATGTAAGATACATTTAATATATTTCTTTACTATTCCTTGTTCTGACTATAAATTTGATCTTTCACAACGCTCCGCTCTAATTTTGCTATTTTCAGATTCTAAATATATCGGCGCCGCGGAAGAACGGGAGGGAACCGACAAACGAGATTTCCGAAATGGTCTTGGGACGAGTCCACGCAAAACACACGTCAGGAAGCAACCATTTCTCTTGCATTTGCTGAAGTTTGAAGATCATTAGTGCAACGAGAAGATCGGTGCAGGTTGCATTTGAATAGTAAATGTTTTCCATATTGTAAATATGCTAGAAATACTCTATTTAACTTGTGAATATATTCTTTGGTGTCGGTTATGATAGTTCATTATCAACCGAACAAAGAACCAAAATGTGAACTATATCTAGTGTTTCTGTGTGAGTGATTACTTTACTAAGACATTGTTACATTTAAATGATTAAAAGTTAGCACGAAAAAATATGTTTTGTTTGTTATTCGGTTGTTATAGATTTACACTTACCAGTATTTTCATCCATTTTTTTAAATTTAGATGTGCTCTGTGACAAATTTTTTTGCTATGCTAAGAAATTCTGGTTCAAAAATATTAAGTTAGTGAAAACAATGTCAGCTTTAATAATTTTTAGGAGCCCGCATTTTAAATAGATAGTGTTATTAGAAATAATGGCGACAACGGCTAAACCGGTCCGCGGAGGTAACTTTGCGGATGCCGGTGATGAAGATATAGCTGCAATTGCAAAGCAAATTTCTGACCATGCTGAAGCTATCTACCAAACATGGAAGGCACGTGGATTAGCTCCGTCTGAAATTTTAAATTGTCATAGTAGCCCAGCAGAGCCTTTCGGAAAAGCTCTTGGAAAATCACAAACTGTAACCTGCAGGTCTCCTCAGGTTAATTTGTCTCCTCAGGTTACAGTGGATTTATTGGCTCAAGCTCCCGAAATGTCTAACAACAATTTAGAAAAACTTGTTAATAATTTTGTTGTAGAAGACAAAGCTAGAGTAGCAGCAGCTCGTGAACAAAATTGCCAAAAAAATGTTCCATCTTCAATTCAGTTCGCATTGCGGAAATTTGAAAATGCACGCAAAAACGTGGTGGATACTACCCCCAAGGAAATTAGGGAACCTATGAAGAAGCCAGCTAAACCTATAAAACCCCCGGGACTAACGGTTACTGAAAGACCGGCAATACTTCAATCCTGGCCCCTGAAAAATAAATTGAGCGAACGGGCCAATGTAGCGAACAAAGGAGCAGCACTTTTAATGGATGAAGTGAGTAGAGAAGAAGAAAGGTTAATAAATGCTTTAAAGAGTGGAACAATTTTGAGTAATTCAGGTATTGAAGACATACCACAAAAATGTACCAGGAACGATAAATCAGGAAACGATTTCAATGGTTTGAGATGTAAGAAGTCTCCTGCGTTCAAAGAGGCTATCGGTTATTTAGAAGACGAGTTTCTAAAATCGAAATCAGAAGATGAATCTATATTACAAAAGCCAATAAGTGATTTGGACGAGTTTCCTAAACGTTGTGCGAAACCTACAGCTTTCAAAGAAACAATGAGCACTATAACAAATGTGGAAACAGCTAAACCTGCAGCATTAAGTGAAAACATTGTGTGGAAAAATGGCCAGAGACCTGCTCATCACGCGCTAAGAAACGGGTCACCAGTTAGACCCTTTTTGACTAGAGGGAGTGTTGCAGAACGAGTATTAATATTTGAACGATGTCCAAGTGAACTTAGAACACCCAGATTGCTGCAGAAAGAGTCTGCTAAAGCACAGGTAAGATTTATTAACTATTTATATTTTCAATAGAAGCAGTGGTTAAGCTTTCACTATGAAAAAATGACACTGTATATAATTTGATGCACATTTTTGTTGAGTATAATAAATGAGTTGGATAATTATCTATAGGTGATATTTTGAGTTTTTAAACTTTTTAAATCTAATTCAAATCTCGAAATATTTTTTTATAGATGGAATTATTATGAGAAATTAATTTTATTGATAATTTTCTCCTAATTTTATATGATATTTTATTCATTTTATTTGTTTATGTGTATTTAAGAAGCTTAATGTATAATATATATATATATATATATATATATGTTGAAAATGTTTAAATTTGATGTTGAAATGTATGATAGATTTCTTGGAGGGCGTAACATCAAGTAAAAAAAGTAAAGATTTTTTTTCAAAACATCTTTATTTTTCCATACGTTTCGACGTAAAATTCTACGTCATCCTCAGTGGTTCTACAATTTAAAAAAAGAAAAAAAAAACAGAAAGTAACGTTACAAATTGAATATACGTAAGCAATAGTAAAAAGAAAAGTTTTAACTAAAGAGAATTGCATAAAACATTACTTACTTGAATTATTTATATTATCACTAACACATATTAATATAACTTGTACAGATTAATAATTAAAGACAAGCACTAATTGTCAGTAATTTCTTTTTTTATTAAAAAGAATAAAAGATAAAAAGTGATTAATAAATAAAATATTATACGTAACACATGTGCATCCGAGGCCAGTGCCATACAGAATAATATTATTGTAAGTGTCCGAGATGGAAGTCAAAATTTTTAGAAAAAACAAACCACACACATATATATATATATATATATATATATATATATATATATATAAGAATGTCAATTTGGTGTTGATATATATTTTGATGAGTTTTGTTGATTCAAGTTAAAGCAATTGTGAAAAAGATTTAGTTAACCATACCTTCGGTCGTCGAGACCTTCATTCAGTGGAATAACTAAAAGGATCTATAACTAATGTAGATAGAGAAATGATAGAAAATTATAAACCTTACCTATAAGTACTTGCAGAAAATTAATCAAACAAAAATACGCAACACTATTACACAGTATTAAACCAAATTAATCATTGAAACATTCAAAACTATATGATTTGTTGACAATTTAGTGTTACATTATAGTACGTACAGAGTTATTGACGTCTAAAAACTGAATGAATTGTGTTTACAAAAAGTTTTTGAAAGTGTAAAAAAGACTGGTAAACACATGTTTTTGGTAAAGTAATGAACTGCACGCTTCATTCAGATTTGATGGTGTTTTGTAACATAGTCAAGGATTATTTTATAGTTATTGCAAAGCGAATTGCTGTCAGTTTTTTAATTTATTCTTGCTTCATTGTGTAATGATATTAGTCACCCTTCTTTTAAGTAAGTTCAAATGTTCTATTTCCAAACATTTGGTAAGTCGATGGAATCTCCGGCCTTCCTATTTCGATTATCAGTCGAAAGTGCCAAATGAGTACAAGTCTTTAAAATCCCCGACGTGAAAAACGCGACTCGCGCTCGAAAGTATTTGATATCTTCCGAATTAACAGAGTATTCAACGAATAGTAAAAAGATTTTTGTTGCAGAGAAAAAAAGAAAAATTATGTTTTTTTCAGTGGATTCAATTTGGGTGAAAACCTTAGCTTACTTTTAAGTTACAAAAAACTTCAACAATTCTAAAATTTCGAAGTCTGTTTGTTTAAAAGAATAACTCATATATATCAAGATCATCATACATACTCATATATAACAAGATCTATCTAAAAATACGAAGTATGGAGAAGTTGTAGCCCAACAGCTTATAGTTAAGCTGTTAACATATGAGAATGAAAAAATAAATATATTGTTTTTGGTTTGTTTATATATAATCAAGACTATTATCCTTGACAGATGTCCTGAATATAGAAAGTACTTTGATTAGAAACGTCGATAATAAATACATTTTTAAAAAAACTTTTTGGTTTCATATTATTATTCGATTCTCTGTTCGAAGCTTTACACAATATTTATAAATTCACGGATTCACCATTTAATATATACTAGCATACCCAACAACGCTTTGCTGTGGCTTTTATTAAAATCCACCTAATAATAAAATATAAAGTTATCTTTATCTTTGTTATATAACAACGTGTATTTACAATAGACTTGAACATTTTTATGCCTATTATCCATAAATATTTTATACATATATTTTTATACATATTTTTCATTATTTCATATTTCTGTCTGCAAATTATTTTTTTAATAAATTATCAAACACATAATATTTATACTTTAATTTTCACGTATAGTATTTTTTTTATGTCTATGTTTACACATACCTATAGCATGCCATTAATATAACTTTTGAAATTAATTTTAATTTTTGAATATAATAATAAACATATTTTTAAATTTTTTTTGCATGAATGTAAATCAGTTAAAAAATGTGTCTTTGTATTGTAAAGCATATGTCCTGTACTAATTGACTTAAAACCAGATGCAACTGATTTGATATTGTAATTATCGTTACTGCCCTAACCTTAAAACATATATTTGTCATTTTCATTTATGAGTTGAAGTCCAAAGCTATCGCCACTGGATGATGTTGCGTCGCATCCTCGGTCAGTAGATCTATAAAGTCAATAAATTCCACAATGGAGAGGGTAGGTGGTGCGTAGCAGCTGTAGAAGCGAATGCCATCTATTGTTGCTGAGACATAGCCGACACTGTCATTGGTAACTGTACCCTGAAAAGAGAACTTGCCACAGGACCAAATAACGGCTTTGGAGATTGTGCCCGCTTCTCATAGTTGGCCAGTTAACTGTTTCTATGGCGCTGTTAAAAGCGCAAGGTCAAGCTTCATTTCTCGCACTGTCTGCATAAGTAGATCATGTGCAGCTTCACAGTGATTTGAATTTAGCTGCAGTACTTTCATACTCGAGTGCTTCTTTATATACCGGGCATCTGAAGGTTCCAGCATGATGACAGCATCCTCTGCGCTACGATATTTAGCGCATAGCGCACATTTTTTGGACAGCTAGCGATTTTGTGCCCTTCTTATCCGCATCTAATGCTAAGGTTGGAACGGATCACTTTACTTTTGCACTGGAATCCGTGATGCCCAAACAGCCAACACTTAAAGCATTGTGTGGGCTTATTAAATGTTTACTTCCCAAACAGCCAATCCGAATTTTGCCACCTCCATTGAACAATTTCTGCGCCATGGCCGCTTGTAACGTTACTGTAGTAGCTTGAGTGCCACTGTAGACTTTGCGCATCTTGATTGCCACCACTGGTGTTTCACAGGCATCTCCAGCTATTTTTTTTAGAGCAGTCTGAATATTGGCCTTAGTTGTTTCGTCATCAGAGTCTCTAATTTCGATTGTCTCCTCTTGCAAATAACTTTGACGGTCATCCTTAAGCATGCTCTCAATTGTTTTTTAGAGTCCTTGGCCTTTGTCTGCGCACTTTCTCTAGATTTTTATCATTATGCCGCCGGTTCTTCGGATGTTGCGATCTGCTCTTTGACAGCCTTCTCTTTTCTTTTTCTGTTTGGACTTTATGCCAATCAGTCGCTTTGTTCTGCTCTGCCACAAACTTCGGGTCTTTTTTCTTCATCACATGACCGTACGACGGGTCTGGAGAATTCCGGTTCTTCTTCTTGCCCCTGCCCAAGTTTTAAATTACTTCCGATTTCTCGTCGTTTTTGGCTCTGGTGTCCCTTTATTTGTTTATCCCGACGACTGTTTGACTCTTTTCCTTTGACGTAGCGTGTAGTAAATTCTACAACCATTGATTGTCTAGGTCCAGAAAGCGCATCATGGCAATTGCAACACTACTTCGCCTTTGTCTTCATGTGAATATTGAATTTCGACTTAATCATTGTGAATGTCGTTGAGTAGTGTTTCGAGACGTTTTAAAGCCCTTATTGTCTGATTTTTTACGCTCATTTTTATATTTCTAGTAGCTTTCCTTGACAGCGAAGCCGTGGGCTCCACTTTCCTGTTCAAACGCTCGCATGATGACGACGACCTTGGCTGCCTGTACTGAGGTATTCCTCCTCTGTTATGTAAACGGTTCTGCTTTCTACTTATCCATTCTATGCATGGTCAAATTGAATGACCAACCTTACCCGGATGTAGAGGAGTTTTGCACACGGGAGCTACTTAATTTCACTTCCTGTCTTATGTTCCTAATCGCTAAACAGGCTTTGCGAACCAGGAATAGGGAGGGGTTTCTCCAATCCACACGTGGAATCGCGCCCAGTAGCAGTTTCTCCTCAGCCCCAATTAGTGGACAGCTAAATTGGGAGATATGTAAAATAGTAGGCAGAACAACTGCTAGATAGACAAATATATAAACAGGTTGACAAGTAAATTGGTAAACATGTGAAACGGGTCGATAGATAAATTTTTAGGCTGGCAAAATAAATTGATAAGCAGGTTGATAGGTAAATTGGTAGACAAGTAAATTGACAGAAAGATAAATTGATAGACAGGTAAATTGTTGAACAGGAAAATTGGTGACTGACTGATGTATGTTAGTCTATCTGTGTCTGTGTGTAATTGTTAGGCAATCGTAAACCATACGTCGGTTTACTGTGAAAATTTGAAAGGCAAGTTTCGAGTTTCGAGACAGGTTTTCGTATATTTTGATTATAGCCAAGTGATAAAAGTTGGCCGCCCAGAGGACTTTTAAAAAACTTTTTTTTTTCATAACACGTACATAAAAACACATATAACCCTAAATTTTCAATTTTTTACCACAACCCCTATTTTGTAGGAATTATTATAGTAATTTTTTTTCCATAAACCATACGTCTGATTGCCCTGAAAATTTGGGAAATTGTTAGGTAAATCCCCGGACCGACAAATAGGTTGAGAGATAAACAGGTTGACAGGTGAACCTATAGACAGGTGGAGAGGTAGACAGATAGTTATATAGACAGGTAGACTGGAAGACAAGAAAACTGATAGA